GGGCTGGGTTTGAACCTGCCACCTCCGGCATATGGGGCCGGCGCCCTACCCTTTTGAGCCACAGGTGCCACCCCAAAGAAAAATATTTTTTATAAATTTAGGTAGCCTTGAATATACAGTGTTCATAAAGTCTACAGTAGTGTACAGTAATGTCCTAGGCCTTCACCTTCACTCCCGACTCACTCACTGACTCACCCAGGACAGCCTCCTGTCCTACAGCTCCGTTCATGGTAAGTGCCTTATTCAGGTGTACTGTTTTTTATTTAATAATTTTTTTGTATTTTTACAAAAATACAAGAAAATCCATATTTTTACTATATCATTTCTGTGTTTATGTTTAAATACACAAAAACTATTGTGCTACAAGTGCCTATAGTATTCAGTACAGTACCATGTTGTACAAGCTGGTAGCCTAGAGCAATACACCTCCAGCCCAGGTGTGTAGCAGGCCGTACCATCTAGGTTTGGGTGAGTTTGCTCTATATGTTATTCATACAATGACGAAATCACCTAACAGCTCATTCCTCAGAATGTGTCCCCATCATTAAGCAATGCATGGTTGTGTTTTTAGTATATTGTGATAGCCCAAAAAAGGGATGTTATTATTTCTACCGAAAGGGGTGTGAATAAAAGAAAAATAGTGAAATTAACATTACAATGAAAGCAACAGAATGAGAGAATTACAGATTTACTGCCTTTATCATCCTAATTGCTTTCAAATTATAAGGACAGTAATCAGATCCCATTGAAAGGAATTTAGACACAGAAGATATTCAGAGAGCAAATAGACACAGGAAAAGGTATCCAACATCATTAGTCATTAGGGAAAACGCGAATTAAAACTAGGAGAGACTCCTAAGTCCTCTCAAAAGACATTCCTCTTAATAGCATCACTTTAAGGATTAGAATTTCAGTGTATGAATTTTAGGGGGCCATAAACATTCAGACCATAGCAATTAAAAAAAAAAAAAACTCAGTACCAGTTATTGGCAAGAAAATAGAGAAACTTCATTGCTTGTAAAAATATAAGATGATACAGTCACTTTGGCAGTTTTATTTAAAAGTTAAGTATAGAGTAGTTATTCTATGACCCAACAATTTTATTCCTAGGTATCTGCCCAAGAAAAATAAAAACATGTCTCTACAAAGACTGGTATGCAGATACTCAGAGTAGCATAATTCATAATAATAAAAAACTAATAACAATCCAGATGTCCTTCAACTACTAAGTAGAGAAATAAAATGTGGCATATTCATACAGTGGAATTTCATAAACAATGAATGAAAAGTGAAATACTAATACGTGCTGTAACACAAATGAACCTTAAAAACAATATGCCATATGTAAGAAGCCTTCCATCTTAATATGTAAGACGCAAACTACTGCATAGTGTGACTCTCTCTAGGCAAAGTTTCTAGAAAAGGCAAAACAGTGGGAATAGAAAGCAGAGGGGGATTGCCCAGGGTGAGGACTGTGAGTGGGTTTAGATAGCGACTAGGCATAAAGGAACTTTTTAGAGTGATGGAAGTGTTCTAAAACTAGACTGAAGCAATTATTGCAAATACTAGAAATCATGCTATACATGTAACATAGGTGAATTGTATTGTGTTTAAATTATATCTCAATTAAAGTTGTCACAAAAAAAAAGACCAAAGAAATGAACAGGTATTTTGTGGATATAGAAGTAGTAAATCATTACATGAGAAAAATCCTGTTTTTGTTAAAAAAAATTAACAAATAAGTTTAGAATCTTTCATGCTATTAAAAAATAGCAAAAATGGAAATGATAAAATATGTTGACAGAGTTATGAAAAGTAGAAGTATATACCCTGACACCTGGCTTGTGATGCTGAAGATTTTTTCCATTCATTTTGAAGCATTATAGCTACTGATGACTAATACCGTGAAACATTTTTATGGCCCTAGTACCTAGCGCATTTTTTTTTCCTATCATCTTGGCCTTCAGATACTAATGATATTTGGCTGGGAGATTTTATTTCTCATCCTGTGTCCGTGGTGCCCTAAAAACAAACATGTCAAGTGTAAGAGTGACTTAAAAGAACTTCTGCAAAGATTTCATAATGACAAAGAGTCTATTTTCTGTGGCCATTTTCTGTTGTGTCTTTGTCTCAACAACCCAGTGGTCCGTATTTTACAAAGAACAGAAGTTGTGATTTATCCAGAACCCTAAAGAGAGGAAATGAAGTTCATAATGAATCATCCAAAAAACAAGTGAACAGTTTTTCTATAATTCACATAAATATTAGTGTATTTACTGTTGTACTGAAGAAACAAGCAAAAATATTCAGTGCATCTAAATGATCAGAGATACTAAAAATAAAAACCATCAAGACCTAAGTCAACTTTAGGTGATTTTTTTGGTAATAAGATGTAGATCAACAGAGGAAAAATAAGGTGTATAAAAATGTTCAGCGCAGTATTAATTATATTTAAAAATTGTAATAGGGCAGCACCTGTGGCTCAAAGGGGTAGGGCACCAGCCCCGTATACTGGAGGTGGTGGGTTCAAACCCGGCCAGGGCCAAAAAAACCCCAAAATGCTGCAAAAAAAAAAAAAATTGTATACATCCCAGGTGTCTAATGATAAAATGGTTAAGTAAAAGGAGAATACCGTGAAAATGTTTATAAAAAGAAAATGGAAGCATTGGGACATAAAATATGTAGACAGGAATAAACTGATTATATTAAACGGGCATTGTAAATATTACAAAGAGCCATTTGAAGGAAGGCTAATCCTTTATGGAATTAACATCAAACCAGATATTATATAATAGATAAGGTAAAAAGAAGAGGTATCAGGTTTTTGTTTAAACAAATTTGAAAATCATGGGTTTTTTCCTTTATTACAGAAGTTCTCGATTTTTTAATATGCTAATGTGCACTGTAAATCTATATTAGGGGACAGATGTGGCAGAGACGCCAGTACTTACCATAGCCCTTTTCAACAAAATGAACCCATGGAACACTTTTTTTTTTTTGAGACAAGAATTTCACTTTGTCGCCCTGGGTAGAGTGTCGTGGCATCATAGCTCACAGCAACCTCAAACTCCTGGGTTCTAGTGATCCTCTTGCCTCAGCCTCCTGAATAGCTGGGACTACAGGTGCACACCACAGCGCTGGGCTGTTTTTAGAGATAGGGTCTCACTCTTGCTCAGGCTGGTCTCAAACTTCTGAGCTCAAGCAATCCACCCGCCTTGTCCTCCCAGAGTGCTAGGATTACAGGTGTGAGCTGCTGCACCCAACCTCAGGGAACACATTTTAAGAAATGTTAATTAATTTTGAATGTCTAGGAATTGTTTTTAGGAAAAAAATCACTCAGACTGTCAAAAATAAAACATATACTGTTTAAATTATATTATTAACAATATATACATATATATATATATTTTTTTTTTTTTTTTTTTTTTGAGACAGAATCTCAATATGTTGCCCTCGGTAGAATGCCATAGCATCACATGACGGCAACCTCAAACTCTTGGCTTAAGCCATTCTCTTGCCTCAGCCTCCCAGGTAGCTGGGACTACAGGTGCCTGCCATAACATCCAGCTATTTTTGTTGTTGTTGTCATTGTTTTTTGGCAGGCCTGGGCCAGGTTTGAACCTGCCGAACCTGCCAGCCCTGCTGTATGTGGCCAGTGCCGTAGCCTCTGAGCTACAGGCGCTGAGCCAAGAATGTATTTTTTTTAAATGGTTCTAACCTTTAGAAAAATAATTTGGGAATACTAACAAGACGTCCTTACCTTTTGAGAGTATCCAAATGGACAGAGAATTTTTAATTAGTTGGCGTCCATATGAGAAGTACTCACTGCTGCTGTATTTCCTGTGTGTTAAATTATGAAGCCCAACATTACAACCCCGTATGTGTGTGTTCTGGTTTTCTCTTTTTAAAGAATTCCCTTTGTTTTTGCCTTTCCAGGAAGTAGACTATGAAGAAATGAAGAATCTTGACTTCAGTATTATTGTCACTAATAAAGCAGCTTTTCACAAATCAATTAAGAATAAATACAAGCCCACATCCATTCCCATCAAAGTGAAAGTGAAAGATGTGAAAGAGGGCGTTCGTTTTAAAAGCAGCACAGTCTCCGTCCACGCTAGCGAGACCATGGACAGATCAAGCCGAGGCCAAGTCATCGGGAAATTTGAACCTTTTGATGAAGATACTGGAAAGCCAGTGCGCGTAAAGTGAGATGGTTATGAATACATTTCCTCGTTTTAAATTATTTTAAAAATCATCATTCAATTTGAACACTCCATTCTTTCACACTGCAGCATGATAGTTCCCCAAAGGTCTATAGACTGAATTTCCTGAAGTTGTGCCTGTTAACTGAGAGACCAGGAGGAATTTTCACCAGAAAGGCTTTTCCTCAGCCATTTGTGAATGAGGATGAGACCGGGTTATTTGTGGAAACAGTCCTGGCTAGAAAAAGCTAAAACGCAACTCAGGAAAGTGCAGAAAGTAACTTGATAAAAATCTGTCTCAGTTCTTTATCGGAGGTTAAGAATATAGCAGATAACATTTATAATGAGTTTTACTTTACTCAAGTTTAATTCAGAGCAATACAGAACAATCTTCATAGTTAACCACTTCCCTACATTGACCTTAAGTTGAAATAACTTTCATAGACTGGACATATACCGCATGTGTGAATCAATACAACAGGCCCAGTTCCTTACGTTGACCACCTCCGTATGTTGGCCAGTTTGTTACGGTCCTGTGGGTGGTCAACTTATAGAGGTTCTACTATAGTTGCATAATGTAGTTTAATACGGGGAAACCAGTTTTGTTTACATATGAATCTTGGGAATTAATCTTCATTTAAACCATGCTGTTTGTTTTCAGAGAGTGGTGAATCTTTATGTTTATTTTGATCACAGGGATCTTCACTCAGGATGTATTGAGAGCCAGCCAGAGGCTGCCATAGTGCTACGAAGGACTGGGCTGTGGCCACCTCTGTAGTGACAACGTATATTTACATGAAATTTTTAAATTTTTGAAGTAAATTTACATCTTAGATCTCAGAACCAAGCCTGGTGTCTACAGAGCTGTTGTTTAGGGAACTCTACTTAGAGTTATCCCCAGCTGAATTTAAAGAATATTCCTACCCGCTGCCCCAGACATGCAGCTGTGGCGACCTCTTGGTCAGTTGGCAGAGCTGCTCAGATGCCTGCGTGTCCTTATACCTGTGTTCCTATCTTAGTCTGTTTGGGCTGCTCTGAAAAATACCCTAGACTAGGTAATTTGTAAACAGAGATTTATTGCTCACAGCTCTCAGACTGGGAAGCCCAAGATGCAGGTACCAGCCAGCTGATCAAATAACTGCTGAGCTTGGCTCTTTGTTTCCAAGATGGCACCTGCTTGCTCACATGGCCAAAGGGGTGCTCAGTGGGGCCTCTTTTATAAAGAACACTAATCTCATTTATGAAGGTGCTGCCCCTCATGACTTATTCATATCCCAAAGGCCTTACCCCTTCATCTGTCATACTGAGTATCGGGTTCAAATTTAAGAATGTCAGGGAACTACCAACATTCAAACCATAGCAGTCCGCTGTGCCACATCATAAAGCCTTGTGTTTAGAAGTATACTGATTGTAGCAAGAGGGAGAATGTGGAAGAAGCTCTTCAGCTTCCTCCTTTTTTTTGGTGAATCTCCATTTAATGGAATTCATTAAATTGCCTTTTTCCAAAATTATATTAACAGCTTCCACTGTGTTTTCCGCAGTGCCTTGGTGGCCATCTGTGGCCCAGCCTGCAGCAGCAGCTCTGCTTCTCCTTAAGTTATGTGGTCTAGTTGTCATTTTCACAGCTCTGTACTTAGCAAGGAAATCTCTAACCAAATCTCCAAAATTGAGGATGCATTTCCTATATGATGATTTCCCACTTACCTACCAGTAATATGTGGCTATATGTTGAAGCTTCTGTTTCCCACCAAATTATTTAATTTTGGCTGCTATTTTTATTAGAGACTATGAGTATATCAAAAGATTACGTGTTCTGCCTAGAAGAATAATGAACCATGCCTCTTTATTTCTCAAAAATGTTCTATTTTATTCTTCATTGCATAATCACAGAGCTTTAGAAGATTTTAAGCTCAGCTCAAACCTCTTATTTTACAGATAAGGAGTGGAGGTCACAGCTAAGTTATTTTCCAAATGTTTGCTGAACTAGTTACTGGCTATCATTACGAAATGGTTGATAAGGACGGGAATAGAATCATTCCTTTTGCTTTGTCATTATTTACTGTGTTTCTGATTACTCGTATATAGCAGCTATGTGTGGACATATGATATAACACATGAGTAGCCATGCTACTTAGAATGGTGTCTAATTTTGACAGCACAGATGGGATCTCACTATTGCCCAGGTTGGTCTGGATCTCCTGGGCTCATGTGATCCTCCCACCTCGGCCTCCCAGAATGCTAGAATTACAGGTATGATCCCACCATGCCCTGCCTGAAAACTTCTGAAATTAGATTACACAAAGAATTCCATTATGAACTATGATCCTTATTACTAAGACCCTTGTCTTTATCATAGTAAATATGAATATTGAGAAACTAGGGCTGGACATGGTGGCTCACACATGTAATTCTAGTACCACTCTGGGAGGCCAAGGTCGGTGAATTGCTTGAGCTTAGGAGTTTGAGACTATGCAAGAGTCCAACTTGAGCAAGAGGCCCCCTCTCTACTAAAAATAGAAAAACTAGCCAAGTGTCAATGTAGTCCCAACTACTGGGAAGGCTGA